TCTGAAAAGTGAAAAAAAAAATGAACACATTCAGCTTGCATTACATCAGCTTTATATCTGAACAAGGCTAGAGTTTCAACAATAAACTTAATAGGAGTTCAGTGACTACAAGAAGGGGTGGGGGGGAATAAAAACACGAGCTCCTCGGTATTCACAAGGAAATCAGATTGATGGCATTGAATCTTTGCAGGCGACATTACACAGACTCAATGTTTAAACAAAACGCTCACGTTTTTACTTTCCAAAACATACCTTGGCCATGGCTTAGAGTGTGCGCTGAATGCACAATGTATCAAACTTCGACCTCTGTGTTAGCGACACTTTTATAAAAGCGCCGTGACATTACAGAGTCGAACATTAAAATGCTATATGCTGCTGCAAGGGTGACTGGGAACTAGCAGAATGGTGTTGCACTGTTTTGGGTGCTGAAGAACAATATAACTTGCCCTCAAGAAAGGGACTTTTTGTCAAGTTCACTAATTTCTGAGCATCACCTACTGAGTCCCTATTAACTTTTATGGGTAATTGGTACAGGTTCTGATATCTGGGAAATATTAGAGGCATAAATTGAGAAATTAAGACACTTTAAATGCAGTAAATTCACAAGAGTCATAACTTTGCACAAGATTCCTTTGAGTTTGTTTTTGGGTCAACTTTGTCTTGGAAGCTCAGCTCTCAATGCTTATAATTGCTGTGTAGGGTTGGATGTTTCGGATGTATGATGGCTTTGGGCGTATTATGTGGAAGTCACCTGTAACATGCCCTTTAATAGTCCAAAATGTTGTTGGAGAGTCCTAAATTTGGACTCCTGCTCTGCTGTTCTCTGGTCTGAGCCATCAAAGAACTGTCCTCAGTAATCACAGCACAATACACACATTTAAACAAAAAAACACGGTACTGGCATTCAATGAACACAAATAGGCTTAAAGGGACTCTGTAGGCACCCAGCCCACTTCAGCTCATTGAAGTGGTCTGGGTGCCAACTCCCATCAACCTTAACCCTACAAGTGTAATTATTGCAGTTTTTATAAACCTTGCAGAGTTAAGTCCTCCTCTAGTGGCTGTCTACAAGACAGCCACTAGAGGGACTTCCGGCTTCTATTTTGTTGGCTAAACTGTTTTTATTTTATTCTCCAAAACAAATCTCTCATTTGTCAAGTAATAAAAGCAAAATTTGGGGGGGCATTTAAACACTTGTTAGTGCGGTATTATTTTTGTTTTTATACATTTAAATAAAAAGACTGGAACTGCACATTTTGCGCGAGTATGTACTTTATATGTTTTTGAAATGGACTATTAAGCCTTTTGCCTTCCCATGATTCTCCATCTACGTGTCTATTGAATAATGTAATAATATGTATCAAATTAAATCCAATGAATTATAGTAAAGGGTTGGTAATTGTAGATGGATGGATGTATTTATTAGCATATAATTTATTTGTAATAATAACAGATTTTGATTTTCTAGATGATAAACTCTTTATTTTTCTGCTAATGGATTGACTATTTAGATCAAATGTATTTTTCTTGTTATGTATCAATGGACTTAGTTTATTTGTTTGAAATGTTGGAGCTTTGCTTTATTAATACTATGTATTATTTGTAGGTCTTGCCCTTTTTCCTTCCTCTCAGTATATATGTGCGTTACTATGCAATGCGCTTGTATGACGCTTTATTTATGCTCTTTTTGTTAGTTTTTGTTTCTATAGACACAAGCTAACCAGTCGTGCTTGTGTCATCATTCCGATTTTGTCTTCTTTTCGGGCGCTCTATGATGTCTTTTGTTGGCGCTGGTTAGCTTGCTGGTTGGTCTTTTAGCCTAGTTTGGCGCATATCTGAGATGAATGATTGGGGAAGCATCTATTGTGAATTATTTTAGCTTAAGAAAGACTCCTTGAGAGGTCGAAACGTTGTTCTGGTCACTATGCTTTATTAAATTTGCCTGAAAATGAGCCTTGGCGTGCCTATACCTCTTCTTGGACTTTCTAACACAACATACTCGGGCTGTGCAATGTGTTTTGAGGGCATTCAGCCCATAGGCAGAAGTCTTCAGAAGCGCTCTGAGAATGGGCATCCCGTAGTAGGGCTGGCCAAAGTATCTGCCAATCAACATGAAGTGTATACATGCCGTCACGTCCCTCACCTGGCCGCTAATTACATCACGACCTGCACAACATTCCACTCCTCTGTTCTGAGTTCACATATCGCATGTTGAAAGACTAATATCATATGTAAATAAGTTTTAAATAAATCTGTGAGGAATCCAATTATTTTAAAAGTGTTTTTTTTTTTTTTTTTTAAGTAAATCATATCTTTACCTGTTTCTCTTTTAGGGTACTAGGAAGTTTGCCCCATTTTACAGAGTAATTAGAAAGTTATAAAACTTTATTTAAGTACTTACAGCATTAATACTTTTAGATGTAATTCTACATAATTTTTTTCTGGAAACACATATATTCTTTTCAAATAATTTTTATTAAAGTTTTAAAATTTTGTATAACAAGTAATAATAATACAAACATTGCATTAGGGGTAGGAAAGGAAGGGTAACTTGGAAATGGGAAGGGGTATCATCCATCATTGAAATAAGCATATCAATGTATATGGCAAAAATGTTGTACATCAATGCACTTTAACAATAAATATATCAAAGACCATAAACTGTTTTGATTTTTTCTTCCTATTTATCCCAATTATATTTTAATATTGGGAAACCATGCATATTGGCTCTATGCGATAATTCGTGTGCCTTGTTTTCTAGAATCAAATTAAAAACTTCTCTGTGAGATGGCACATTTTGGGACTTCCAATGTCTAGGTAAACAGGATGTAGCAGCGATCAGAATGTGGCCTATGATTATTTTATCTGATCTATTAACGGACTCCGGGAGTTTTTTAAATAAGGCATACATTGTCAATAATTAGCATACATTCCAGTTCACATACATTTGACAATCCATACTTAAGCTTCAATTTTTCCAAAGAAAGAATAGCATCGACATATAAAAAATTGTTCAGATTAGTTATAGAGCAATCCTTCAACAATTCTATTTTTAAGGATGGTATATAATCTTTCAATAACTCAATAGGCATTGCTCTATATAAACTGGGAGACTGGTCATTTTTAAAAACAATGTCCCAGGCCTTAAGCGTAGTCTTGGTAGATAAAAATAATTTTGTAATTCCAGGTCTTTTCTTGGGATTTAACCAAGGTAATTCTGATAATCTAACCGGTAAAATTTTTGATTCTTCTATTAGAAACACATATATTCTGTGATTAGTTAATTTATTTCAGAATTTTGCGAATTTAAAATATTGCTGGTCAGCATTTTAACCCCTTAAGGACCAAACTTCTGGAATAAAAGGGAATCATGACATGTCACACATGTCATGTGTCCTTAAGGGGTTAAAGTCCAGCTCGTCATAATGCAAAACTCAAGTGTCCAAACCGCCATTTACGGTGCTCTGCCAGCAGTCCCACGTAGTTTGCCAATTAAACAAATGGTAATCCAATAAACCAGAGGCAAGTTCTGGGCAAACCAAAACTATTACTGTTGCTTTGTACTGCGCACCTCAGCAATTAAATTGCAGCAAGCTGCACAGTCGTTTTATTTTATGCCCAAGAGCAATAGAGGCAGAATCTAATAAAAGGAAATGCAGGTAATTAGCAGAACAAAACTCAAAAAACCCAGGAGGAAAGCTGCTTTTCCTCTGCTTGAGCGTAGTTTACATTGTAATGCAAGGCTACAGTCAGGGAAAGAATTCAGTTTTCCTTAACTAAGACTGCTCACATAGCAATCTCTTGAGTCATGGCAGAGTGTTCAATGAGGTTGAATCACAAACCAGCAAGACACCAACAGCTAATGAAAATCCTAGTGACTTAACCCTTTAGCATATGTTGAAGATTAGCTGCGGCTTTTGCGTAAAAATCTTTTTAAAACTATATTATAACTTAATGGGTTTCTAAAACAAAGGTTAGGGTAACACTTGCTGTGCTACTTCCCTGGTCAAAATAAATAAATAAAAAGCTGCCAGGGGAAGGACATGGGTGGTACAAAGTGTGTGTTTGCATGGGGGGGAGGGGGTGATGGGTGGAGGAGGGTGGTGGGGAGGGGGGTGTGCTGATGAAAGATGTCATGTTTGCACAGAATTCACATTAGGTGCCCTGGAACTGGGCTGGCTAGATGACCAAATCACACTGCCAGAGTTGGAGTTACCACTCTGGCTGCAAATGGGTTAAACTCTGCATATGCAGCATTTCATAATGACACACTGCATGTACAGACTCCAGGCACTAAGACCACTTCAAATACTTGGAGTAATTCTTTAATCATGTTCAAATAGAGTTCTTAAAGTGAAAAACGGTTACAAATTATGAAAATGTCTTGAAAAAAGCTGTACGATTGGATGTATGTTATACATTCCTCGTTTAATATAACACTTTACTGTTTATTTTTGCCTTTGTAAAAACAATATATAGTCTTTTATGTTTCCACTTATAACTGTTTGATGCATACTTTTCTTTTTTAACCTGTTTGCTAATTATCTAAATTATATTAATTAACATTCCATTCTTCAATTTAAAGGGACTGTCTATACACCATAACCGCTACAAAATGCACCAGTGCTTATGGTTCAACCAGGCTGAAGTTGCTGTCCTTCAATTATTAGCCAAACATCTCTGGAGCTATCTAACCACAACCAGGGGTCCCTGAGGTTCCCAGTGCGCCTACTTTCCGTATTGCCAATGTGGAAGTTGCACCTATGCATTAGCAACTTCAATTTCATTAATGCAATATCAGATATTGCACAGAAAGGCGTGCAGCCAAGCAGAAAAGGTTTTTACTCAGAATCAGAGCATAGCGCCATATCCTACTATCACGCTAAGCTCTACAACAATATTGGTTATACTGCATTAACTGCCCCTTTACTATACATGCTAAACCATAGGCGTGCGCAGCCTATTGCATTAGGGTGTGCACCCAACAGCACAAACACACGCCGCATGTGTGTGTGTGTGTGTGTGTATATATATATATATATATATATATATACATATATACATACACACACACACACACACACACACACACATACACTGCTGTGTGTGCTGTTAGTGTGCTGTGTGAGGGTGCTGTGTGCTGTTAGTGTGATGTGTGTGTGTGAGGGTGCTGTTAGTGTGATGTGAGGGTGTTTGTGTGTGTTTGTTACTGTGCTGTTTGTGTGTGAGGGTGTTTGTGTGTGTGTGTGTGTTTGTCCTGTGAGGGTGCTGTTTGTGTGAGTATTGTGTATTTGTGAGGGTGCTGTTTGTGTGTGTGTGTTTGTGAGGGTGCTGTTAGTGTGCTGCGTGTGAGGGTGTTGTTTTTTTTTTAAAGGTGCTGTGTGTGTTTGTGAGGGTACAGTTAGTGTACTGTGTGTGTGTGAGCTGTATGTATGTAGGTGCTGTATGTTTGGAGGGATTGTGGAGGTGGGGGCAGATTAGTAAATCCTTGCTGCCATGTGCCATCCCTGGTGGTCCAGTGGAGAGTGAACTCTAGCCTGCGGGGCTAGAGTTAACTCTCACGAGATCTGAGCGTTGCAGTAGCAACGCTCAGATATCGCGAGAGGAACCTGGCGGAGCTTCTGTCTAGAGCTCCCTGGGTCCTCTCCTGCCTCCCTCCATGCTGCTGTGGGCCGGTGAGGTAGATCTTTGGTCTCCCCGCCGGCCCATGGAGGCTTAGAGCAGAGCCGGCACTCAGATAGCGCCGGCTCTGCGTAAGCCGACAGGGGAGAGCGGGATTCCCCCCCCCAAAAAAATAATATACACGTATGTGTGTGTGTATATATATATATATATATATATGCGGCGTACACACACACACACACACACTCACAGACACATTCAGACACACACACATTCACACACATACACTCACAGACACACACACTCACACACATACGCTGTCTGCATCTCAGCCGTGGCGAGGGAGCTGTCTGCTCTCTGCTCCCTCTCGCCGCGCGGGCTGTCTGCTGTAGCTGGGAGCCGGAATATGACATCATATTCCGGATCCTGGCATCAGCAAACGGTGCGCGGCGAGAGGAAGCAGAGAGCAGACAGCTCCCTCGCCGCGGCTGGTAGAAGAGGGATACATCACCTCTTGCCCCCCATGACAGGGGCAAGAGGTGAGACAGGGGGCGCTGAGTGCCTGCAGGAACAGTGTTCCTGCTCAAAAAAAAGTGCAGGAACGCTGTCCTGCAGGCACACCCGGCACACCCCGTGCGCACGCCTATGTGCTAAACTAAATACTGCAAAATGCTTTTAGTAGACTCTTTGGCATTTCAACAGGGGTATGCATGTATGTATACATTAGTCAAATATCAAATGCCTATTCTGACCAATTCTTTGATATACAGCACTGTAATTGATTTTGACTATGTTGTTTAAAACTACTACAGGTATAATGACAAACGAATATAAAATACCCAGGGAAACGATAATGGAAAAAAAATAAATGCAAAATACATAAAATGCATTTATATCAAAGTTTAACTAAATAAAATGTATTTTAAAATTGTGACAGCCTCAGACCAGTAAAAAACAAAAACATTTGGTAGTCTCAATTAACCATGTTGCAAAAATAACGACCATGCAATTTCTAATTGACATAGGCATGTCATCCACAAAAATACATGGATGACAAGGTCAGCTTCACACATTCAACTGTAATTTATACATTGCGCAAAAGGGTGACCTAATACAATGCCTGGTGTTAAGCTGCATAGCACTGTTTCCCATTGTTACCCATCAATTCAGCCAGACAGTCAATTCAGATGCATTGTGTAGTTGTGCTTGTATGTTTATATATGTGTAGGATCAATCCAGTTGCCTTCACCTGTCAAAAATTACCTACCAAGCGCTCAATAAACCCTTCTGTAACAAACTATTTAATTCCCCTACTTTAACCCTTTGTGTCACTATACCCCACTCCCTCTAGCATGTAAGCTCATCGAGAAGGGCCCTCAACCCCCTCTGTTCCTGTACGTCAGTGGTCTGATCTCAATTATGTGTCTGTTAGTCCACCCATTGTACAGCGCTACGGAATTTGTTGGCGCTATATAAATAATAAAATAATAATAATAATAATAGTAAAACTAAGAAAGTTGTTTGCACTTCCTACTTCACATTTTAGACATGCTGCAGCTTTGGTTATTCTCATCAGAAATAGTCTTAGAGAAGGCATTAAATACGCAACTCAACTTCCTGTGACTTGTCCAGTAAACACAACATCTAGTTGTTGCAGTCAAACTGAATCTTTTGGGGGTTAAGTTCATTGAGTTGTTTTGATAATTAAATGTGCTTGAGAATAATTCATGCTCCTAAGGTCTTCCAACAGAATCTGAAAAAATTGCAATGTTTTGTTTTTGTAACTTTACGTTTGAGCAGTATTCACGAAATTTGACAAAGATACAACATTTTTGTGAAAACTACTTATAGGTAACATGCTTTTTTCCCTTTTATTTTGAAACAAGCCCATGTAGCAATTTGGTCGAAGTTTGTTGCAGAACTATACATCAGGTTTTATAAAATTGAATTCCTGAATTCCTTTATATTTATGAGTGCATTTTAATATATTACATATTGCTGGCTCTTAAGCCGTCAGACCGAACAATTCTGCTGCTTTTTTATGTGTCCACGTTTACTGAGACCACATTCCTCCAAAGAGGACCTGTTCAGTGACCATTTAATCTAAACACTTTAACAACTAATGCATTGGCATCAGAGGAGAATTACTTGAAACTAAAGATTCATTATCTGTGGTGAGAGGGAAACACCAATGGTACAGATACTGTGTAACTGAGGTAACTGTGCTTATTTATCAAATACAGGGAGGACTGGTTAAGTGAAGGGAGGAAAGAGATGAAAATGAGGGGGGAGAGCTTAGATGAATCTCAGGAAGGTATAAATTAAGAAAAGTGCAATTCCATTTCTCAAAATACACTGAACAAAATTATAAACACAATACTTTTGTTTTTGCACCCATTTTTCATGAGCTGAACTCAAAGATCTAAGACTTTTTCTATGTACACAAAAGGCCTATTTCTCTCAAATATTGTTCACAAATCTGTCTAAATCTGTTTTAGTGAGTACTTCTCCTTTGCCGAGATAATCCCTCCACCTCACAGGTGTGGCATATCAAGATGCTGATTAGACAGCATGATTATTGCACAGGTGTGCCTTAGGCTGGCCACAATAAAAGGCCACTCTAAAATGTGCAGTTTTATTGCACAGCACAATGCCACAGATGTCGCAAGTTTTGATGGAGCGTGCAATTGGCATGCTGGCTGCAGGAATGTCCACCAGAGCTGTTGCCCGTGAATTGAATGTTCATTTCTCTACCATAAGCCGTCTCCAAAGGTGTTTCAGAGAATTTGGCAGTACATCCAACTGCCCTCACAACCACAGGACCTCCACAACCACAACAGCCCAGGACCTCCACATCCAGAATCTTCACCTCCAAGATTGTCTGAGACCAGCCACCCGCACAGCTGCTGCAACAATCGGTTTGCATAACCAAAGAATTTCTGCACAAACTGTCAGAAACATTCTCAGAAAAGCTCATCTGCATGCTCGTCGTCCTCATCGGGGTCTCGACCTGACTGCAGTTCATAGTCGTAACCAACTTGAGAGGGCAAATGCTCACATTTGATGGAGTTTGGCACTTTGGAGAGATGTTCTCTTCATGGATGAATCCCGGTTTTCACTGTACAGGGCAGATGGCAGACATTGTGTTTGGCATTGTGTGGGTGAGAGGTTTGCTGATGTCAACGTTGTGGATCGGGTGGCCCATGGTGGTGGTGGGGTTATGGTATGGGCAGGTGTATGTTATGGACAATGAACACAGGCGCATTTTATTGATGGCATTTGGAATGCACAGAGATACCGTGACGATCCTGAGGCCCATCTTTGTGCCATTCATCCACGACCATCACCTTATGTTGCAGCATGATAAAGCACGGCCCCATGTTGCAGGAGTCTGTACACAATTCCTGGAAGCTGAAAACCTCTCAGTTCTTGCAAGGCCAGCACACTCTCTGGACATGTCACCAATTGAGAATGTTTGGGATGCTCTGGATCGGCATATACGACAGCGTGTTCCAGGTCCTGCCAATATCCAGCAACTTCACATAGCTGTTGAAGAGGCGTGGACCAACATTCCACAGGCCACAATCAACAACCTGATCAACTCTATGCATAGGAGATATGTTGCACTGCCTGATGCAAATGGTGGTCACACCAGATACTGACTGGTTTTCGGACCCTCCTGGACCCCCCAATACAGTAAAACTGAACATTTTAGATTGGCCTTTTATTGTGGCCAGCCTGGGCAATAATCATGCTGTCTAGTCAGCATCTTGATATGCCACACCTGTGAGGTGGATGGATTATCTTGGCAAAGGAGAATTTCACACTAACACAGATTTAGACAGATTTGTGAACAATATTTGAGAGAAATAGGCCTTTTGTGTACATAGAAAAAGTCTTAGATCTTTGAGTTCAGCTCATGAAAAATGGGGGCAAAAACAAAAGTGTTGCGTTTATAATTTTGTTCAGTGTATATGATACAAGTCAACTCATAATAAATAAAATAATCCACTTTATTTTTCATGTTTGAGTAGATTTTTTTTTTAATAAATTCAAATTATGTACAAAACAATTGGCAAGTAAATCTGAGGCTCACAGACATGCATAAGTCCACATGTTATTCAATACATTTCATACAATCATAATACTTTGATTAGCACTACCAGAGTAGAGCCAACTCAGTTATAGGGCTAAAGCAACCCCCCACACATGTGTATGAATCTCAGTAAGGGAAAACTAATAGAGATGGACTGGTATGACAAGAAGGTGGAATTGGGGTACGCTGGAGATATGTTGGTACACATGAAGTGGAAACTATGGAACTTTACAGTAAGGGTGGAGAGTGTGACTGGCACGCAGGTATAAAAAATATAGGGGATATTGACATAAAGAAAAATAAATGGATGTCACGGTTTAAGTATATAGTATGATGGAGACTGGAGTCTCCAGGTCTGTCTTCTTCTGTAGAAG